GCCAGAAATTCCTCAGTCTTACAGCTGGGTAAAGATAAATCCTTTTTTACCATATACAGCATCTATTCCATACACCATTCTATTGCGAACATCAGCAAAAAAGATTTGGTAGTACGACAATGACTGAATAGTGACAAAAGACTTATTATTTCTATGCAAAAAAAGACAAACTTAATAACAATTATCTATTTATAAAGCAGCCACTCCGAAGTAAACAGCAACTGTTTTCTCTCAATTGTCAAACCGTCTTAGACTTCAAAAATATCAATCTTTTTCAACTTTGAGAACCTCTTCAATCTTTTCTAATAAAATGCCCGCGGATCGTTTTCGGGATAAGTTATATCCAATAGGTATTGTTCCTGCAAAAGTTTTGAAATACGGCCACTGGCTACCAGAGGTAAACAAGAAAGAAGGGAATAGAAAACCCCCCAACATTGATAGACATGTTATATGTACAGAGAATGATAAAAAACAACCCACTGAATAATTCCATCCTCAATATACAAAAAGGAAGATGAACAACTCCACTCACTGGTCGAAATGTTTGGGCCAAAAAACTGGGAGAAATTGGCCGTTTACCATTCAACTCGAAACGGCAAACAAATGAGAGAACGTTGGCTATCTTATGCAAAGAACGGAGGTTCATGTTGTTCCAATGAGGCGATAAGCATTTATTGTGTTATTGAGTTTTGGGCCGCTTGTTTGTTTGTAGTTCTAATCTGTATTCCTACCACCAACATTTCGCTAATCAGCGGTTAACAAAGGACCCTTTACGGCCAAAGAAACCGCCATTATCTGTTATTTGCATTTAAAGAAGAGAGTCGGATGGGCACATATTGCAAAAGCACTCAACACCGGTCGTCCGCCAAACACATGCAAGAATCATTATCACAACTATATCAGCAAACGTGCTCGGGATCCGGCATTTGTTGAGAGATGTGCACAAATATATGATAGAGAGGTAGTATGGCCGTCATTGTCAAGGTAAATATAAATTAAAATCTCTTTCTTCTTTTTTCTCCCTCTCTACTTGGCCTGCAACAAACAAATGTTGTTGTCTTTTTTAAATCATTACCAGTAAGGAAAAGATGGCAATCGAAAACCTCATATGTCGGTTTACAAATTGACGGCTTCCGATGATCATCCCACAAAAATTCACTCTCGTCTCGATCATCGAAATTACAATAATTGTTAAATATCTGCACATAATAGTTTCTTTAAAACTTTTTTTCCTCCTTAGATTAAAAACTCGATATATTCAAACTACAACCTCTTTTTACTTAAATCTCTCGCAACATAATAAAGAATTAATCATGTTTGCGAGCAATAATATTATGCGACATTTATTTATGCCATCCATAAGCAATGATGATTAAGCACAAGAATAGACTATATATATAATAGTTGCAAATACCAAGTCAATAAACTTATTTTGTGACATTCTTAACCTGCCTTTTCCTAAAGGCATCTATGAAAATTTTTGCCTTTGACAAGGGACTCTTTTAAACGGTAGATTATTTCGTTATTCACAATGAATAAGAAGACTGAAAGGAAAGGATCAGTAATAACGTGGCGGTGCGCAATTGCGCAACATGAGGGAAAATCTTAAAGTAAAAGACAACACTATAATAATTTGCTCATTTGCTGTTGATAGTAATAGTGCTAATACCATCGATTATCGAATAAATCGTTTATACTTGTATCAAGTCTTGTGGCAAATGTTGTCATCCCGGTTGATAGACTAACAAGAAGATTTGCCCCAGCATGGAATGAGGCTGTGCGCGAATAAAATCTGCCTACGTTACTGTTACATCTGCTGCTTTTGTATCACTATTATCTGCAATCGCACTCTCCTTCTATCGGGATACGACTAGAAAAATGTTCGTATCGATCGATAGTTGAGGCATGGTAACGCGTGAAAGAAATTGGTATTGACTATTAACGACTCTTTTGATACAAGCTAGTCGACCAGATGACAGCACAAGTAATGGATGATTAACAGTTGTAGAAAGCACACATTCGTACAGCATTTCGGTTAATCGGAGATTATTTCCGGTGAAACAAAGAAAGTCTTTGCCAACAAATAAACAGTCGGTAAGAAAAAAGAGAACGAGAGATATAAGCTAGGAAATTAAATGTTGGATTTGTTAACTTATACGTGTGACATTCTAGCAACTGTTCGCGGTAAAGTAGAATAACATTGCATTCTTACTTGCTCCTCTCAGACTTTAGAGTTCTTTGTAGGGGGGGGGGGGGGGATCAATGGAATTTGACCCCCGAAATACTTGTGTGATTTTAGCTGTACCACAAAAGTACTTACGTCATAGTAAATATAGAGCGGAAAAATCGATCAAAAAGAAGTAGACTTGGCGAATTGACAGAATGGCAACCGGAAGGCTAAAGTTTCAGAGGAGAACGTCGTATGACATTAAAGGAAAGAAAACTGACAGAATGGAGACTGCCTTGAGGGAGAAAGAGAAGGTAATATTGATGAAATTGATATAATGTAAGACCGTAGGTATGACGGAGAGTTTAACATAACAAGTTTTGTGAAAAAAAACCCAAGTTGTTGAGCAACTGTCTTAATTACAGGGAAACGAATTCTTTGTGAAAGGAAACTATGCGAAAGCAATTGAATATTACACGAGAGCTATGGAACTTGACCCAAAAGAGCATACTTTTCCTATAAACCGTGCAATGGCTCACCTCAAGCTCAAAAAGTAAATCGATCCAAATGCGTCAATTGGTTTGATAACTCATACATAACAACTTTTTTCTTTCCGAGTGGACGTTACAACCCACTTTTTTTTTTTTGTTTTTCCTCGGTTTTAACCTTGTCGGTTTTTCATTAGATATGCCGAAGTAGAACGTGATTGCACAATCGGATTGAAATTGCATCCTGACAATGCGAAAGCGTTTTGGCGGCGGGGCGTAGCCAGAAGAGAACAAGGGAAACTTGATGAAGCAAAACAAGGTATTATGAAATGGACTATATCGTTCGTTGTCAAATTTTAAAAAGATGCGTAATTTGCTACAAATTCTGTCTCCGTGATTACAGATCTTCAGCACGCCCTCGATCTAGAACCGAACGAGAATTCTGTAAAACAAGAGTTGGCCAAAGTCATCGACGCTTTGAAACAGATTGAGGTATGCAAACTTTGGGACACGCATAGTTTATATTTTCTTCGCTCATGTACGAATATTAAATCGTGTTACCCTCTTGCCACCAATAAGCAACCATCAGAGACTTTGCCCGTTGAATCGGATCAAAAATCAAAAGCTGCGCCAGTCCCTCCGAGAAGACGATTAGAGATTGAAGAAGTTGAGACTGACGACTTTGGTGATGAAACTCTTGCTGATGGCAAAGCAAATGGTGACACAAAGGGGATTGTTGAAGCATTGGTGGAAAAAAAAGACGATAAAGTCACCGAGTCGACAAATTCAAAGGCGTCCAACATTAAAATACAAAGCGACGTCGCTGATCAGACGCACAAGGAAACTCTTACCGAGACGAAAGTAGACGTGACAAAAAAGCCGCAACAACGAAATGACTTTCGCATTCCGAAAACAATACTCGAGTTTCAACATGATTGGTCACAATATTCGCAATCGGATGATGATTTGTACAAGTACATAAAGGTATGAACGGGTTGTCGAGGAAGATGTTATTAAAAAGAGCATGCATAGTTTTGGGAAAATTTATCTTACTGTTGTCATTTAACAAAAAGGCCATTCCACCGCAAAAACTTTCTAAAATTCTTGGTGTATTCCTCGAGACCGAATACCTTGCCAGTATAGCACGCATACTGAGAGATAAGTAAGTAAAGCATTTGATTCGTTTGTATCTGATCATGACTTTGAAACTCACAATATGAACAATGTTTTGATAGATATGATAATGCAAAGGATATATACGATGTTCTGTATTGGCTGAGTAAAACCGATAGACTTTCGATCGCAGCATCACTGCTAAAGCAAGACGACAGCAAAGGTAGGCTGATGATACATGATAGTGGTATGGTTTATCGGTGAACATTCACACAGTCTAATTTATTTACTGTTTTGTAGTATTGACGGATGTTTTTGAACGTTTAATTCCAAAAGCAAATGAAGTTGGGTTAAATCGGGATGACATTATGCAATTATCAAAATCTTTTAAAATTTCCATTGGATGAACAGGAACATTACAACAAACTGTTATATTAACATAGAATTTCATGGAGTAAATTGAATAAAATTACTTTGCCTTAGTTTATTAGTATGTAACAAAAGATTAGAGATACAAGAACTACTGTGTCAATTTACATTTAATATTTATTAGCTAATGCAAGCTTATTATTATAGATTTCCCTAAACAACAGCTAAATATTAATATAAACATGCATTCACCATCTGCGCTGAGAAATAGTAGTGGAAATAACATAATTATGTTATTCCACTTATGATGTGGCCTATTACTATATCATAATTCTGACACATTCGAAGGAGGTGTATTTTATAGATTTGGGCACATTCGATGGCGGCCAATTTTGTCGTCAGGCCACATGCGATACATTGTATATCAGGTTGACAATCGAGCCGATTTCTGTCGTCAGACCACATGCAACATAATGTATATCAGTTTGACGACCGTCAATTATAAGATACTCCTCGATTCAGGTTATGACGACCGTGTGTTCTAATTCTTTTAGAAACCCAAATTGAATAGCGGTATTTATATAGTAAATGATGATTTCAATTGTAAGGAAAATCCCGAGATAGGTTGTTGTTCTTATCGCAATTTGACGCGTTGATTGCGATTTACGCGTCATTTGATGGCTTAACAATCCTGATCGATTTCCATTGCAATAAAATAGCTGTGATAGGTTATGACGATCTAACCAGCTTTCTTTGTGTTCTTTTTAAAAGGCCGACTTATTGTGTTACTAAATAGAGACAAAAAATATACCAACGATGCGTTCGTCATTTATGGAGGCAAATAGTAATAGCCAGAGCATATACGCTATCTAGTTCATTATATACTGGCATGTCGTCCGACTTAGCGAGTTTCACTGTGTATACATGATGTCACATGTAACTGACGACTGAAATTGGTCATTGTCGCCAACCCAACATACTTTATATTACATGTGGTTTGACAACAGAAATCGCCTCGATTGTCAACCTGATATACCATATGTGTTGTGACGGCAAAAATTGGTCCGCCATCGAATGTGGCCAACTCTATAAAATACACCTCCTTCGAATGTAGTCAGAATTATGATCTAGGCCACAGTATAAGTGGAAATAACATAATTATGCTATTCCCACTAAAGTCGACAACGCATGCATAATTAAAGGCACTTTAAGTTTGCATTTATCAAATCACTTCAGATGGCGGGTTGAAGCTTTTAATCAAAATTATTGAAGAATCATTACCAGCAAGCAAATAATAAATACTATATACATGTGCGTCACCACAACATCGTTCAGTGTTGGGCTCGCTAAAAATGTTAAAGAATCCCCCCACCGAACGAATATTTCAAATAATCGCGAAGAACCCTCAATTTGATCCAGAAGTAACAGTCCACACCATGCCGTTGTAACTACGCGAAGAAAACCGATCAATACATAGACTCATCAATGCACATTATGTGGTATAGACGAAGCAAATACACACCTCTTGGAGTGGTTGTACTCCTCCAGAGTTTGGCTGCCGCACCACATCACGTTGACGCGCAATTTTGTGCTTCCCTCTTAAAGAGGTTGTAATCTTCGATGGTTTGGCAGGTGAAGGTCTAACAACCAAAAATCACTTTATTAGTAAAAAGATTCTAGACATGTTTTAGTTATCAAGAGCGTTACATACTTTTAACAACTCTTCTCCTGCCACGCCACGGCTTCGACGAGGTCTATGTACCTGTCTTCTTTTATTATTATTTCCATGTATATTGGCAAGAAGACAGGACTAGTAAACTGGGCCCTATTCTGTTGGACCCAGTGCGCCGCCGCATATATATCCGGGCGTGCTCGCGCACGAATTCTGACCGACGGTTGCATACGTCCGTGAGTGTATGAAAAAATTTTTAAGTTAAAGTAAACTTTATATAAGAGACACAATGCGCAAACTATTTGGATATAAGGGATAAAGTAATATTATGTTTCATAGAATCCTTGGAAGAAGGGAAAAAAGTAGTAGGGATGAAACAGCCTTTCTCTCGGCATTTTATTTCATAAACAATGTTGATTATTGGTTGTGATATATTCTTATTGGTAACTTTATAACGTGACCGAAATGATAAATTGGCATTGGTCGATCAAATCCATTTATACTTGGAGGTATAACAGCGGAGGGATTATGTGTTTAATTTGTCCATGGTAATAAAACGCAAACGCCCATCCAACTCCCAAACTACTCCGTCATCGACAAATCAATCGACGGATGGAAATGACGACGTTCTGAAATCAGACAAACGGGGACGACGAAAGAAGAATGATGGCGAATACGAGAGTGGGAGCAAGAGTACAAGAGGAAGCGGCAATGGAAATACAAAACGAAAAAGTGATTCAATCAAATTGAAATTTAAGGTGTACAAACCTGAAGAACACGAGTAGGTATTTGTCACTTGAGCAGGGCAATTTACACGGATGTGCTTATTATTAAGCGAGAGAAACATCAAATTAGAGCAATAACATTATATATGTACAATGCAAAATTCTACAGACTTTGCTCCCTCGTGCCCCCCCCCCCCCCGCATAACACCTCGCCATGAGCGTGGCAGGGGGACCTTTATTTTTAATTTTAAGACTAGAAAGAATAATCGACACTTTTTATTTTAGATACATTGACTCGCCAGACTATGCCGGGGAGGAAGACGAGTCTGTAATATCCGAGTCGTTAGATCCAGCAGATCCAAGTGATCCTGACTATTACCGAACACGGAAAGGACAAAGTACGTTTGATTAAGCCCACCTGCGGTTCGGGTTCGGGTTAGATTAGGGCTGAGCTGAGCTGAGCTGAGCTGGACTGGGCTGGGCTAAACATGACGCATCAAACCAGATGTTGCAAAGTTTCTTGCATTTGCAGCAATTCCATTAGTATTCTTAACATTTTCTCCGTAAAATAGGTCAATCTCGAGAAGCAAGTCATACAACCTCTGCCAAAAACAACCCAACTTCTAAGAAATGGAAACCAAGGCGTTGGCAAGTGAGAAAAGTCGAACTACCAACCACAGGTGGCGGCTTTGTCGTCCCATTGTGGTGTATGGGTGAGTTACTGATCAATCATATTACAAACCAAAATAAACGCGAATGGGAAATATGACGATATTACGTTCTTATTTGTGATCTAGCTCATTCGCGGCATCGCTAGGAGGTCAGTTCGGGAGTAAAGTTGGAACCCGTAACGATGACGTTGATTATTTCGCGATTAAAGCAAGTATTCGGTGTAGATTACGATTCTCTTCCGGAATTCGAAAACTAGTACTTTCGACCAAGTGAGACAAGTACTTTTGGGCAAAGATAGATGTGAAGAAAAGAATTTGTTTCAAGTATTAGCAGAAGAACGAGGTTTCTGTTGTTTTTTTAAACGTTCAAAGACAAAAAATTATCATCCCAAATTTGGATGTTCGTTCATCATCGATGGTACACAATATTTAAATTAAACTACATTGGCCAAAGTTGGTGCAGAAAATCTTTTCCAGAAAATCTTTTCTCTAAAATTTTGATCAAAATAACTGCAAATCAAACAATAATCCATACCCAATCCACAGTCGTAAGTCTAATCCTCTTTCATGAATGTTACTCGTAATTGAAGAACGTGGTACTGTCCGATCATTATCTTAGTTCTAACCGGTTCTAACCATAATTAGAATGCTTTTTTTTGCTAATGTAAAGCCAGATAATCACTTTAATTCGATTTTTATAATGTCGTCTCCCCATTTAACTCGCAATTTGGCAATACAAAATGTAAAATTCGTAAAAAGATATTCTGTTCCTCATTATCTTCTGTAAACTCTACAACTACAATAGCATATTCCTAACACCTGCACCCGCGACACGTTATGACAGTATACTAGATAGTATTTTTATACCACATTATTTACACAACAATTATTAAACAAGTACCTTTTTAAAATAATAACTTTTTTAAAGCAAGTCCCTATTTGGTTGGTGATCTATCAACACTGATAAAGCGCACATTCATTGTTCGCAACTATTTGTAAATTTATCCTGACGCAAACAAGTTTGACTGTATACAATTTACAATTCTGTGTTCGGAATAAAATTGACTTTAAATGCTGGTACCCACAATAACAGCCATAAATATTACTTTAAATTAAAACGTGCCGAGTCGATCGCACACAGATTACCCATTGATGCGGTCAATAATAACTATAATATTAACTAATATACACACTCGATCGACTGCACTCGTAACTGTATTTATACAATTTCCCCTCATGCCTTTAATTCCCAGTTCAGTTGCAGGCACCGTCCTTGTTAAATGAGTGTAATGTGGCGCGAACATCTCGGATGCGCTCCACTTGTAGAATCTCCCCTTCCGTATTTTGGAATAATTCACACATTAAGCCGGCAGAATCTCAGAATCGGATATCAGATTCTTAGAAGTAAAAAGTGGGAGGATTGACAAGCATGTCATGAACCCATTTTGGCTGCTTGTGAGCATGAAACGGACAATCCGAAAGAGCACAAGAGTTGGTCGCCCAGCTCGCATATGTCCGCGTGCGCATATTGAACACCATTGGATTTAAGCTATAAATTGGAAGCGAATTAACATGTAAATAATTAATGAAAAAAAAAAAAAAGAAGACACTAGGTAGTCGTTCAAAAACATTACCTGTCTGGTATTATTTCTCGCTTCTGCTTTGGCAGTTTCGGCGATGTAGCTTTTGAACTTCCGTCTAAAGAAATACTGCGGCTACTGTTAACACCCGGAGTGCCCGGAACTGCTTCGTGGTCATCAACATCTTCTGGTTCTTCTGTAATGACCTCTGCCTCAAATTGCAGAATTCTTGGATATTCTGACAATGGTGAATCCATTGTTTCCTTGGTTCTGCCTCCCCTATCAATAAGTTCCTGAGTGCCAGTGAAGCTCACCCTATGATAACGGCATCAAAATAGACCAATCGAATTAGCACGTTCTTATGCACACGCCTTTTCTGTTAAAGAGCAAAGTTGTTGTTTCTTTCACGGGTCAAAAAGTAAAAACACAGCATTGCATTTCGGTTCGTGGTAATTGCTGGCAACCTACTCAAGATTTACCAGGGACGCAGCAATAAGGACACGTTCTGATTTGGATATGCGCCATACTCCACTTTTCAACTTGCTGTGACTTGTATGCATAAGCTTTTGTACCTTCTCGATGGTCTTCTCGTATTTGTATTTGCATTTAAAGACGTTCTTCTTGCTCGCGCCGAAGATCTCAAAAGACTGTAGTATTGAAATATAAACACAACGGTATAATTAATATCATATTTAGTGCTTGGTTCGATATCAGTAGATCGCATAATAGTCATGTGTCGTACCTCCCGAGGTAATCTTCATCAACGTCCATAGGAGACAGATCCTCTCTTATTCCATCGACTATACTATACGCATTCGCTTTCTTCAAAGAAATTTCGGGAAAGACGGCTGATGCTGATACAGTTGTTGGAGATTCTGTAAGCGGCCCAGCATCTGCCATTTCAATATCCGAGTCAGTCCTAATCGGCAACGGCCGAGCAAGCCTTGCATGAACGGGTATTGGTGACCCTTCTGCAGAAATTTCGACTCGTGGTCCCTTAAACTTCATTATTTCTGATAATTCCGCTTGTTGTGCTTGCAATTCTGCCTTCATGATAAATTCAGCGTCGCCATAATCCGATAGTCGTTGTAGGTAGGGAAGATCGATAAAAAAGTCGTGAGCTCGATGTCGCGGCCCAGACTTTGGTATGTTTATATATCTCGGCAGTGTCCTAATTTTTGCGACGTCTGTTCCGTTCGTCTACGTAAAATTTACAGAACGGCAAGCAATGCGTGATTGGTAGGAAGAAAGAAAAGGCGATCAATTTATGTTTATTTGAATCGCCATGCCAAAGATAGATAAAACATCGAAAACACTTGCTGTGAAGAAGTCTCTCAGAAATCGGTCCGCGGCCGGATACTTAGGGACAGGTCTTCTATTTGACGACATCGCGAAAGCCGGTCGGTTTGAGTCGGGCGGACTCGACCCGGCCGAGGCTCGCCAACGGTCTTCTTTAAACCTGTGTAATAAACTTAATTTAGTATTCGCCATACTAGCTTTCTGTCAATAATCTACGACATCTATACCCATTTTTACTCGAACTTTGTAAATTGCATCTAAGGCGTGAAAAACCTTACAACTACAACTTACTTCGCATGCTCAAATAAGCCCTGTCTTACAGCTTCCAACATACCTTAAGAGTCGCCTCTTACGTTTCTCCTCCTCCTCATTATCGACACTGATCGGTCTTGCTATCGACTTATTGTCGTAGACTGGAGAAGCACTCCATGCTCCTCTCCCACGACCTCTACTACGGCCACCTCTTCCGCGAGGCCGACCTCTTGGTGATGAGTTTATGGCACTCGCTCGTTTATTCCCACGAGGCATACCAAGACTTAATATGTGTGTCTATATGATGTGTCTGCCAGTTGTGAAAGTACTTTCTAAAAGATGGTAGTACGGTCAAACCTTAAAAAAGCGATATTTGTGTTACCTTGTCATGTAACAATGAGTTTTATAAAATAAGCTTAGACAATAACAAGCAGCCACTCGGTCAATCGCGAGACAGAATACGATTCGCTTTATCCGCTATACTTGTATTAGTATTAGTGATTTCACAATATAATAATAACGGAATTATCCATGAAAAGTTTAGGCTTGGAGTAAATGGACACTCGCTTCTTAATAAAATGTCAACAGCCACAACGACTGTTGCCTCGGTTAAGGATTTAACTACCTCGTCGTAATTGATCTTATACTAACAGTTAGTGACATTTATCTAGGCTCTGACCGTAACCACGTATTCTCGAGTCGTCTATTGTTAGGGTAGTTCGGTAGTCTATTGGTGGGTGTCTAAATAACTTAACTTGTTATTAAGAAAACAATTAAACATCATAATCACTACTCAGATAATCGTGAAACAAGTACGTGTATACGATGCGTATATATCAGCCACTCCTGAACAAGCAGAAAGAATAAACAACCTAACCAAGATGATGTCAGTGCTGAAAAAAGCAAAATCATATAAACCGTTATCTGAATATACAGTTGTAGACGAACCCGAAACGTGATCTCAAATTGGAGTATTCATAAACAAATTCGAACAGAAATTAAGTTGCTATATTTCTATGCGTGTTTGGAAAAGAGAATAAATTGATAATGAAAGAGAAAAATTAGCAAACGGCAGAGAAAATATTAATAATAAGTTAAAAAAGTTCCAAAGTTAAATTGGAAAACCAACCCAATAAGAGTGTGAGATAAAAAATTTTCTGGATGGTTGGTTGCATATTCCTGTTATATCTCCTAATAATTTTTTAACAATAAAAAAGTTAACTAGAGTTTTTCTATAATTTGCGTTGTGTTTCTAGATTTAATAGTTGGACAAGTAGTGTCTTCAAATTATCTCTAACAAATGGGTAATACTATGATAAAGATATGCTTGTCTTTTGTAATTCAAAAAACAAGGTAGAGAATGAAAAAAAGTCATATTTTGGTAAATTTAGAAACATTTACTTTGTCCAAATTAAGCACCATTACCAACCAGCTGAGCTTTGACAACTCCTGGATGTTTCAAGAGAAATGCTGATATTTTTGTAAACCATTCCGTTTCATAAAGAAAATTTCTAACACAGAATTAAAATTTGAATATTGAAAACCTGTTCCGTTGGTCAGAGCACTGAGTTTGTTTAATTCCGTCGTACTCGAGCTTTTCACAACCTCAACGATATGACCTACGTTAAATTTCAGATACCATGAAATTAAATTCGATACTTTTATAATAACCGCAGATATTAAATACAGGTAAAATTAAATAGTAGCATTATTTTGATCCTGCCCGTCAAGTAATTTTCAAATACTTTTCGCCTCTATTCAATTTTTTTTATACCAGACTCAGCGTACTGCCTTTCTCTATATATTTGTCTTTATCAAAACATAATTAACTGTTCGTGGACTACAGTCAACTGCCGATAATTCGATTGTTGAGCAAGACCCCGATTTTATCTATTATGGTTTTCCTCAAGTACGTCTGCCGTTAATTCGACCTGTTATGTTAATTTGACCGATAACTCCGGAACGGAGGCGGTCGAATTATCGGTAGTTGACTGTACTTTATCTTAAATACCAAAAAAATGCACTTTGCGCGAACTGAGATAATAAATTTTACTTACCTGTTGACCGGAATGGAGTACGTGAACAGTTTGTGTTCAATTGTAACCATAATGCGCAGTAGCATCAACATTTACAATGATTAGCGTTACAGCGTAATTATCATTTACCAATTTTCTCTGTTGTTTCGCTAATTCGTATTTTTTGTTGTAATAATTTTTTTAATAAATCTTTTGTTGCTTCTTCTTCTTTACGAGCATTGTATTATAAGCCGTTCCAAAAATGTTGGCACGTGTCACATAAATCCGTTCTTGGGCTCATAATTTGAATATAAGGCGTTCATTGATGCCATAACTTTCGGAACGCATCAATTTCTACGTGCTATCGTTTTCGAGACCTGCAATAAAATTACGATAGACCGCCTTGTAACACGTTTCAGTGTAGGCGATTGAGTAATTCGGTTTACATTTCTACCAGGATTTGGTAATTTATGGCCCAAAAAACAATGAGCCGTTGAATGCTCTTTTGGATTGCGGCATATATTCTCAAGAAAATTCTTCACGGCGGGAGCAAAACGGTTATATCAATAGCTATTCTGGTTTTCCAATGTGGCATTCATTTATGTTACCATGCGCGGTACTTACCAGATGTTTCTGACAGTTTCGAAGTGAATACGGCCAAATTCCCAACATGCTGGTAAAGTTAGGAGGTTGAGTAAGAAAGCGCATACACAAGGTACCTATTCAATAAAGCTACGGAAAAGTGGGGTAACCCTTTGAAGAACGTTTATTGACAACGCTTTGAGATACGTTTTTGGCAGAGGGGCGTGCTGCGATTCCAGTTTGCTTATTAGTACGCGTTTTTTAAGACGTCGACTGACAGCTATTTCTCCAACATTTATTGTTCTCAGCTGGGCCCTTGAAATATATCTTGTTCAGATCTTGAGAAAGCCTAAAATGCCTCACGTAATTCGGTAAACTTTCTTTTGGAATCATTCTCGAGCAACCACAATTGCAACTTACAGTACCTCTAAGAAATGTATTACTTTTTTGTATTCGGTAGAATCATTATAGATATGGGTAATTATATATATAATTTTATATTTGTAGTTTTTCTGTGTTTCGTATGATTTGTGTTGTGCTCACTTGTTTGACCACTTGGTTAGCTCTTTTATACAGTAACATTTATTTTACATGTAATTTCTATATCTCAGTGCAGACGCTATAAAGTCAATTAAGTCAATTTTTTCTTTAAGCCCGTTTTTCTCTATCATAAAAGATTTTTTTATAGCTAAAATAAAAGCGCGCAATTGTTTGGTACTCTCCCTGTATATATCCACCTTATTACAACTGATGACCTGTCACTAGGCTTGCCGCACGTACAGTTCTACTATTAACTATAACGTAATCACTAAGCCTCATATCGAAGAAGATTTAATCGCTAACTTGTCCAGCGATTGTTTCGGTAGCATTTAGATAAGT